GTACATGGGTGTCAGGCATTCTCTAGTATGTGGAACCACCTACAAGTGACCACTGTTCCTCTGCTAGCAGCCATCAACTGCCAATAGCTCCTTACCTAGGGGCGGGACATCATGAGCCCTTCCAGGCCATGCTGGAATGTTATTGGCTTGATGCTGTACATGTCTTGTGTGGGTAACCACTGCTCTTGTTCATGAGTTCATGAGTGCAACAGCCGAGTCAGGTCCAGAGGATGGCATTTCGAAGCACTCTCTGGCTCTTGTGTTCTCTCAGCCCCCTCTACTGTTCTGTTCTCTGAGTGTTGGGTATAGGAAGGACCGAACACACAGTCATCATCTTTCCTAGTACTTTGACTGTTTTTGAGGCTCTGCGTTGACTGCTGTCCACTGCAAACAAAAAACAAAACAAAACCCAAGAAACAGAAAAAGAACACGAAACAAAACAACACAACGAAACACAAAACCTAAGCCTTTCTGACCACATTGAAAGCAGCACTCGTATATGGCTATAAACATAAATATTTAGAAGGCAATTAGAGAGCATGTACACACTTTGAAAAACAGCAGTAGTAAGTCAGGCCCCAACAAGGTCTATGACCTCCCCAGCCATGGGATTTTGATCAAGTAGGTTTACAGTACAAGGCATGAATTCTTTGCTATGTTACAGGCCTAAAATCTAATCAGAAGGCAGTTGGTTACCCTCATAACATACATGCCGCTATTTTATGAATAGATGTATCTTGCTGGACAGATCAGTATTCTATCAGGCAGAGTCTACCACTGAGTAAGACCACTGATGATTTTGTTCTCCTCCAGTGGACTGCCCAGCCCATTTCTACACTGTAGGAGTTTGCCAGCGTAGAGGAAGTTTCCTGGTCAGTTCCAGCTTGATTTGTGTATTTTGGGACCAAACTGTGGTATGTTCATCAATAATGTCATTTCATCTAGTTATGGTGGGCAACCAAGAAAATAGCAGTAGCCTATGTTGTTTAAGAGGCCTCTGTGGCCTCCCTGATCAATAACTTGTAGGAAGGTATTGCACCTCAGGCACTGAGACTTCCATTTAAAACATTTCTTCTGGAGGAAACATTATTTACCCATGTAGGGAATCTCTGTTGAAACTCCTGGTTTTGATGTTGCTGTTACATTATGCTTCTAATTAGCTCAAAAAATGATGGATTTCCATAAAGCGTTTCCAAACGTGGTTAGTTCTGATTACTCCACATCTGACCTGCTTTTTCCTCATCGCTCTGTTCCTACTCCTGCTTAGGCCTTAAACTCTCAATACCCTTTATCCTCTTTGCCATCACATGCATGCTATTCTCTTCCCCCTCTCCTTGGTCTCTTCACTCTCTGCCTTTCATAGACCGTTTACAGCTTACAGACCTCTACAAATACTCCAAATGGAACACAAAAATTACAAATTTTAAGAGCAGATTTACTTATGAATCCACATGTGGATTCACATATGGAATTTGTCTTTCTAGGCCTGGATTACCTCACTTAGCATGAGTTTTTCAGTTCCATCCATTTTTCTACATAATTTAATTTTTCTTTATAGCTGAATACAATTCCAGTGTGTGTGTGTGTGTGTGTGTGTGTATATATATATATATATATATATATATATATATATATATATATACACACACATATATACATATATGTATATGTCACATTTTCATTAGATATGGACATCTAGGCTTATTCCATTTCCTCCACATTATTAATAGAGTGAACAAATAGTACTCAACATTGAACATGGATAGCCGCTATAGCTGTAATAAGATATCAAATCCTTTGGATGTAAGGCCAACGTAGGTATAGCTAGGTCATATAATAGTCCTATTTGTAGCTTTGCGAAAAATGATCATAGTGATTTCCATGGTTAGCTAAGACTCACACCAAAGCACATACGACTTCCTCTATCCCTGCATCCCCAACAGAATTTGTCGTCATTTTTGTCATAGTCATTCTAACTTGGTGAGACAGAATCTTAAATTGCGTATACATGTTTGATGATGTTGACCATCTTCTGAAAGTGTTTATTAGCCATTTGTATTTTGGAGAACCCCTTTCATAAGTTCTATAGTGCATTTTTTATTGAGTTGTTTGTTTTCTTTTTTTAATTTTTTATTAATTACACTTTATTCATTTTGTATCCCCCCATAAGCCCCTCCCTCCTCCCCTGCCGATCCCACCCTCCCTCCCCTTTCTGCATGCATGCCACTCCCCAAGTCCACTGATAGGGGAGGTTCTCCTCTTCTTTCTGATCTTAGTCTATCAGTTCTCATCAAAAGTGGCTGCATTGTCCTCTACTGTGGCCTGGTAAGGCTGCTCCCCCCTCAGGGGGAAGTGATCAACGAGCAGGCCAATCAGATTATGTCAGAGGCAGTCCCTCTTCCCATTACTATGTAACCCACTTGGACACTGAACTGCCATGGGCTACACCTGTGCAGGGGTTCCAGGTCATCTCCACGAATAGTCCTTGGTTGGAGTATGATTTTCTGGAAAGTTCCCTGTGTTCAAATTATCTTGTTCTGTTGCTCTCCTTGTGGAGTTCCCATCCCCTGCAGCTCTTACTATTTCCCACTTCTTACATTTTCTTGACGTTTTAGTTTTGGGGCTCTTTGTCTACTCCAGACACTGACGTTATGTTGGGTGTATTGATGCTCTTCTCCCATTCTGTGGGTGCCTCTCCACTCAGTCAGCAGTTCCCTTTGCTATTTAATTTCATGACATTTATTTTTCAGTTGCTACTCTTATTTCCTGAGTGATCAGAGTCCTAATTAGAAAGCCCTTCCTTATGTCTGTCTTAACATGCACTCCCTGCTTATCCACTAGCAGCTTCGGAGTTTCAGGTCTTACACTACAGTTCTCTGGAGTTGATTTTAGTAAAGGGTATGAGAGAAGGAATTAGTTTCATTCTTCTACATGTCAATGTCCAGTTATCCCAGCACTGATGGTTAAAGATGACATCTTTTTTCCAGTTTGTATTTTTGGCATCTTTACCAAAAAATCAGGTGGTACTAATTGTGTGGGCTTCTATATCGTTATTGTGTCTGTTTTTATGTCAGTTTTTTTTCTCACCATGGCTCTGTAGTATAACTTGAAATCAAGTGTGGTGATTCCTCCAGCTTTATTCTTTTGCTTAGAATTTCTGTGGACATCTAGGGTCTTTTGTGCGTCTACATCACTTTTGAAATTTTTTCTATTTCCGTTGACATTACTGGGATTTTGATATATATTGAATTGACCGTATAAATGGTTTTTAGTGAAAAAGGCATGACATTGATTCTTTGAATAAATGAACAAGGGAGATATTTCCATGTTATTCTGTCTTCCTGGATTTCTTTTTTAGACAGAATCTCCCAATGTAGCTCTGGCTGGTCTGGAATTTTCTGTGTAGACTGGGCTGGCCTCAAATTCCCAGATCTTCCTCTGTCTACTTTTTGAGTACCTGGGTTTCCTTACGATTTTAGAGTTTTTCATTATAGAGCTCTGTCTGTTACTTTTCAATTTGTATTTCTAAAGCACCATGACCAAGGCAACTTTTAAAAGAAAGTGTTTACTTGGGCTGTGGTTTCAGAGAATTAGAGTTCATGCTGTCAGAGAAAACTCAAGGCAGGAGGAGAAACTCAAGAAGCAGAGAATAAACTGAGATTGGTATGAGTCTTTTCAAACCTCAAAGCCTGCCCTCAGTGACACACCTTTCTTACAAGGTCACACTTGCTAATCTTTCCCAAATAGTTAAACCAGTGAGACCAGGTATTCAAACATATGAACCTATGGTGGGCATTCTCATTCAGACTTCAAGGTTTTTTTATATTCTTGCTCATCATTTATTTTAAAATATTGTTAGTTACACTATGATTTAAAAAAAAAACTTGCTTTCCATTTATTATGAATTAAATGCAAAGTTTTAGATATAAATTGGAATGTAAAGAAGCTTATACCAAATTTGAATTTTGTATGCATTTTATATTTGTACATATTGTATCATATACATGTTATATACATATGTATTTACATATTATGTATATATTTATATATGACTATTAGTACAAGGAATAAATAAAAGTGTTGTATGATGCTTTCACTGGTTTTTATAGTACTCTTATCACCCTAGGAATCCTTTCTGTATTCTGGGTACCTTTAGTATTGGACCATGCTGATATCTCTTATAGGGGAAAAAGTAATTATTACATCTTTCTTTTTTTCTGACTATACCAGTGATTACTTTTCATTATAAAAATAAATTGTAAACACCATTAGCAGCTTTTTTTTCCTATCATTGGAGCACTAGCAGATTTTTCCTCCTAAGTTCTGCAGTTCCATTTGCACAGTGTTGTAATTCCTTGAGGTTCATAGACCGCACAGTTTGGAGTTATACACCTCCAATACTCCTGTAAAATACACTGAAGTTCAGAGATGGACTACACAAAATGTAAATGTATAAAAGACCATTAATATTTTTGGTTTATTGAACTTATCTGTTAACAAAATATTATATTCCCATTAATTCCTTTGCTTCATTTTGTCTTCTTAATGCGGCAAGTGGATATCTTACATTGGGTTGTGGTTCGCATTATATTTCTGTTGCAAAGTACAGATCTGACTCCACAAACAAGAGACCTGGTAAGAGCTGGGAGTCTTCTCTCTATGCAGACAAGAATTGGCTTCCAGTTATGATTTCATCATGAAGACCTTTCTATTTCTGTGGTTTAATAAAGCCATGTGTTCTTTTAAAGAGAATCACTCTCTATTCCTTGAAGGATTCCATAGTACCAAGAAACCGAGAGCTGTCACCAAAAGTTAAAACACAAAATTATAAACAAATGGAGTAATAAGATTATTATGTATAGTTAGCAGAGAGAGATTATGGAAGATGACTGGAGAAAGAGGCTCCTAGAACAGTATCAAGGTCAGAACAGTATCAAGGAGTCAGTGTTCTGGGGTGTCCTGTAAAATGGCTCATCAGCCCTTTCTTTTTGCTTTTCCAGAACGCTGTGATGACTGGGGACTAGATACCATGAGACAAATCCAAGTGTTTGAAGATGAGCCAGCTCGCATCAAATGTCCTCTCTTTGAACACTTCCTGAAGTACAACTACAGCACTGCCCATTCCTCAGGCCTCACCCTGATCTGGTACTGGACCAGGCAAGACCGGGACCTGGAAGAGCCCATTAACTTCCGCCTCCCAGAGAATCGCATCAGCAAGGAGAAAGATGTGCTCTGGTTCCGGCCCACCCTCCTCAACGACACAGGCAATTACACCTGCATGTTGAGGTGGGCTGCTTCTCTGCTTCGGCTTTCTCTTGCCCTTGTAGTCCCCAGGGTACTGTTTAAATAATGACTATGTCGTGAAAACTGATCAAGGGAAGGACACTTTTAGATGGGTTAAGCCTTACCTCAGTGGCCCAGCTGACATGGGAAGAAGGTGATGTGCAGAAAGGTTTTGTCTTTGAGAATATTCTTCATGGGTGGTTCCTTTAAAGAAGTGATATATAGCAATGTCCCCTGAAGTTGAGGTTGAGTTTATTGGCTTCTTTTCATGGCCCTGTATCCTGCCTACGTATTTGCCTTGCCTGGAGGCATCATTTCCCAGGAAACTGAACAAGGAAGAGCCTATTCATATCTGTTATGCTTGGCTTTTCATTCAAGTACCTGGCAGAGATATCACATTCAGGGCATGTTTATAGAAGAAAGACTATTTGGGATGCATCAATATAGTCATCACAGTGCCTTTAAATTTTCAACCAGAATTCTGCTCAGCAGCAAGTATATACCATGCCCCTGGAAATCCAAAACTGCAACTTAAAGCAGCTAACCAAAGTTTTCCAAAACCATCTTTGTTCTTAAGACATCTATGTGCCTTTTATAGTTAGTGGCACAACAATGTCCATTTTTTTCCTACACATCAATGCAGATTTTTGCTTCAAAAATTTTTTAGAATACTTAAATCCCTCCAAAAAAAAATCACAATTGAACTTAGCTCTCACATTCCCTTTTTGCTAACAATCCACAATTTTTTCTTAAGTCATATATAGCATGTATTTTTTTTTCATTTGATACAAGTTCTTGTTTAATAGGAATATTGGTATCAGTTGGAGGCTACAAGTCTGAGATAACAGGGTGGGTTTCTTTCCCAGTGCTTGCCTTATTTATGTCCATCTTCTCACCGTCTCTTCATTTTCCAGGATCCATGTCTTATCTCCTACTTATAATGAAGTAGCAGTATTGGATGAAGGGCCACGCATAGGACCTCATTTGCCTTAATTATATCTTTATAGGCCCTAATTCCAAGTATAATCCAGTCCTCCTGAGGTTGAGCTAAAAACTCAACATTTAAATTAACAGTGGCTATCAACACAGTTCATTCTCTAATAATTAGTGAGCCTGTTTTCTTTCTCTCTCATGGATGTTAACTCTTCTTTGGCAGAGAGTTAAGACAAAGTTTTGATAGTCATATGCAATTTTATTACGTGGAAATGTTCTCCGTTCCATTATAGGACAGTCTGGAATCATTGGGTCTTTGAAGAATCCCGTAGCCTGTGAAGCCTCCTTTGAGGTCATCCGATAATAATTTTATTGGAATAAACTCTAGACTCACACATGGGCTTTCAGTGAGCATGAAATGCTCATGTTCTTACTCTCTGTGTCCAAAAAATGCTGTAAGTGGCGGCATCAAACAGACTGTATTGGTGAGAGACAGAAGAACAATACCTCTGCTACTGCTTAGCTGGTGAACTAAGGCAGGCTGTGTACAAAGCTGGAGCTTTAGCATCCATACCTATACTATGGAAGAGCAGGATACATGTTCTTCAAGCTCCTTTTTATCTTTAACAATTGTTAATCCCTTAACATTCTCCGGGTGAGCATCAGCAAATCCCTGGGAAGGGTGTATTACCTGTTTCTATTGACTTTGCCCAGAACCTAGTGCTGCTGATGTCTCTGCTGTGCATGCAGTCATGCAGAACCTATAGTACTCTTCCATTATCTGCATTCTCAGCTCTGACTAGAGTGGCCCCTTAAGCCCTGCTTACAGCATTCAACAGCCTTCCTAGCCCGGAGTCCCAAAGGATTCCACATTCTTCCATAGAACAGCACGATCAGGCCTGTCACTCTTTCCTGCTAACCTCTGTCCTATTGCTGCGGTAAGACAAATAGAAAAGGCAACTTATAAACAAAAGCATTTAATTTGGGGCTTGTGGTTACCGAGGATCCATGACCATCAAGGTAGAGAGCATGACAGCAGCCATGGGGGTATAAGGAAGATAACCACTAGATTGAGAAAGCTACCTGAGAAGGGCATGGGTTTTTGAAGCCTCAGAGTTCACCCCCAGTGGTACACCTCCTCCAACAAGGTCACCCCTTTTAGTCCTACCTACATGGTTCTACCACCTGGAGCCAGGTATTTAATGGTTTCAGGGGGCATTCTCATTCAAACTACTAGACAAGTTTGGGTATGTCTAAGGCTCTGGAGTCAGACCATTTTCCTATATTTTTTTGCTCATACTCTCGTATTCAAAGGGCAATGTTCCATCTTACCAAGATTATTGACAATGGCTATAATATACTCATATAGTATATTGAATTATTGCATATTTAATGAAGGCATGTCCAAGGTGCTCACTGTATAGGAGACCCAGTGTAGGAGTGCAGGATAAGGTGTGGTAGAGAAGAGCTTGACAGAGATGTGGTTCAGTCTAGACAAATCCTAGTGCACACTTTTCTACCAACTGTAAGATGTTTCTGTGCCTGTTTTTGCCTTTCACATTTGCCTGTAGATACACTCAACAATTTTGAAAACTATATCATAGCTTTCTTTGTGACCTGTTTTGCTTGCTTTCTAATTAATTTCCATGTTTTCCTGTCAGAGATAACACTGGATGGACATACTGGGTTATGTACTGGCTCTATTTTCCCTTTCTAAAATTCTGATCGTGTAAAACCACCACCACAACAATAACAAAAATTTCAAAACTTACAGGTCAGAAGCTAACATCCTAGAAACTTTTTACTTTCAAAAGTTGGTTGCACCCTTAAACATGCCATCCTTACTTTTGCCTTAGTAAAAATACTACTGCTGAGAATGTTCTAATTGAACACTTTAAATGCACATTTAAGGTCATGTGTAGAATATAAATATTTCAGTACATTAAGAGAAGATATTTCTGTTTGCTTTTTAGTGTGCAGATCTAATTGGTATAAAAAATATCTCAGTAAGTTACTTAATATTCAAATGGATTCACATGTATAAAGAAGTCTCTGCTATATTAAATCAAAATGCAGATGCGCCTCCCTGCTCACTGTGTGCTTATATTTCCAGGAACACAACATACTGCAGCAAAGTTGCTTTTCCCCTGGAAGTTGTTCAGAAGGACAGCTGCTTCAATTCTCCCATGAGGCTCCCCGTGCATAGACTGTACATCGAACATGGCATTCATAAGATCCAGTGTCCAAACGTAGATGGATACTTTCCCTCCAGTGTCAAACCAACCGTCACTTGGTATAAGGTAAGAAAACGAGAACAAATTATTTTTTTTTAAAGAGAAATGAATAAATATCTATTAGTTAAATGGTAACATGGATACTTTTCTCCTTGGACCTTTTGATTTCTTCATTATTATCTTTGTACAAATGTTTGCCACTTCCTTGCTTTGTTCTGTTTTAAGAAGAGGTGTGTGGGTTGCTTTGCCTCAGCCTGCTGTTTCTCAAGTCCCAGAACTCACTACCTAATTTCTGTCAACTCCCAATGGACACATTTTGAGAAATGCTTCCCACTTCCACTGGCGGCTTTGGGAAGTCAGGAGGTGCTGACTCATGTGCAGCATGAATCTCAGCCCCTTGATGAGTCAGGACTGTAATTTCTCCTTTCTGTGTACTTTGTTGATTGCCCTCGTTGGTGGGCAACATCCATCTGTGGTCTCTCCACCACATCGGAGGATCTCGAAAGTGTTTTGTTAAAAATGTGAATGCCGGAAGGTGTTACATGTGACAGCACAGACTGAATCTCATGAAGTCTCCGTGAAGGACAGGTGGAAAACTCAAGCACACTTCATGTCAGACTCCATATGAGGGGTCCAAGCATTAAGCATCAGTTACCACCAGCATCACAAAATGATACACAATAGAAGTATTTCTTCCTATGTGAGAGCAATGCTATCTCTAGTTTTGCAAAGGGGTTAAACCTTCGGCAAGTAGCAGCTGTCTACAAGAGATCCAGAGAGCATAGGAAGGCCCGGAACCACATCATGAGTGTGACGTCAGCAAAATGAAAACCATATGAGTAGTCTTCATGTGCAAGCTTCTCCTGTTATATACAAGGGAGAAGTACAGATTTAAAGAAAACATGTTAGGCTGTTTAAAAGGAGAATGAATACATATATCCAAGGGTGGCCCTATGCATACATGATAAAATTATAACAGAAATTGAGACAACATTTTGGAGAGCTTATATAGTGTCTACTTGGGTGGGGAATACTGAAGGAGGTGTGATTGACAAGGGCTGTGTGGAAGGATTGCAGGGGTGATTCACAATATTATATTCCTGGCCTTACTGGTGCTTACAATGATACATACTTTGAAATGACTCAGTGGCTAATTCATATGATTGTACCAGGTTTTGCATATGTTTTGTGGTCTGCTAAAATAACTACCAAGAAAAAGGAGAAATGGACATATTGAGTGAGGGAGACAAGAAAGAAGAACAGAAGAGAGTGGATGGGACGAGTTAAGAGATTAAGACTTAAGAGATTGAGAAAAAAAATAACTTTTATATAATGGTTGTTGATGCGGACTCCTCACAGTATGTAGATGACCACAGTGATAAACATGAGTAAAGAGAAACAGCTAAGTGGGGACTTGTGTTTGAATTGCTAACATCCATATACAGTGCCATTTGTGTTTTGCACATCTGTAAACACAGGAGGACCAGCAGATACTGTATTCTCACAGGATAAACAGTCTAAGAAAAAAGTGGGCTGTGCATTCAATGCAAACCTGTTTCAACAAACAACAAGAGATTGGCACACAGGCAAGTGCACCTCCCCCCCACATGTACAAGCCTGTATATGCACACACACACACATATACACATATAAATATGCATGCATATAAACACATACACATACAAACATTTTATACACACACACACACACACAATACGAACTACCTGTTTTCAAAGAGAAGACAACTAGAACTCAACAATCCTATCTTCTATGACAAAGCTTCTACTAATGTGTGTTTCACTGTCATGTTTTTATGGTTCATTTCTCTGCCTCTGACTAATTGACTACCACCTTTGATCTTAAGAATTCTGATACCTTGGAAGCAAGATTGAGGTCTTGGCTGGGTACATTTTCCTATTGTTTGATGAGAATACTGACATTTTTGTTTTCTGCCTTCTGCAGTCATCCCCAAGCATCTAAGCATTTCCTTGTGAGTCGAACGCTGTAACTTGATTTTAGAAATGGGGTCCTCTGTAATAATAGAAATACATCTTTGAAGATGAAAAGTTACATGATTATAATCTGTTTCACTATCACCTGCAAGTTGAAGAATGTTCAACTGAAAGTAGGAGGAGGACATTAATGCCTTCCACTTTAGTAATGTCATTGCTTAGTATGCTAAGTATTCTGCTACTATATCTGGTGCCCACCAAACTCAAAAAGGTGGAAACCATCTTTAGAAAATGGAGGCTTAAAGTACAGGGTCAATCCCAAATGGGCTACTGTACTTTATTCTCCCAACACACATAGGAAGTACAATGTCCTATTTCCCTCATTTTGTAGTTCAGAACTGTGTTACTCAACATTTCTAAGGCTATGACAAAATTTCTCAACTAGGCCACGTAAAGGAGGAAGGTTTTAATTTTGGTTTATAGTTTGAGTGGTTTGAGTTCATGTTTTATCAACTTTCTTGCTCTTAAGTGTATGGCAAAGCAGGAACAACATGCTAAAAGGCAGGCTAGTGGAGAGCTGCTTACCATGCCACCCAGGTAGTAGAGCGACAGACAGAAGGGGCCAGGGACAAAAGATAGTCCTGAAATGCCAGCTCCCAGTGACCAACTTCCTTCAAGCAGAGACAGCTCCTGAGGAATTCATCAGTGGATACATGTATTGAAGAACTTGAGAGTTCTTGTGAGCTAAACCTGTTACCTGGCAACCACATTTTAACATGTCAGCTTTTATGGAACACTTTTTTTTTTTTCAATGATAAAGCTATAACAACAATCTAGGTGCAATGCTGTTGGGAAATTTACAAAGTACAACCAGGCTAGAAGCCAAGATGCAACTTCAAGAATACTATCTTTGGCATTAAATTCTGAATGTATTCAACAGTCAAGCTGCAGATGGATATGCCTGGGACTTAAGGCCAGTTCTTCGTGATTCTATAGTCTATCCTGCCTAACAGTGATGTAGAGAGAGTGATCTAGTCCCTACTTTTAGATCTCAGGGCATCATAAAGGAAAAGACAATCATTGGACATTTTTGGTTTATGAACTGGATGGTGGGACTTAGCAAACTGTAGGTATAAGCACATGGACAGGATTCTGAGGGACTGATGCTAAAGGAACAGAACACCAAGTGTTTATATTTCAGAAGTGTGGAGAAAAGGGAACAAGACTGAGCATTCCTCTCCATGTCATTTCCCACTCTGTCATCCTGTCTTCTTTATTGGAAGGCCTCCCTAATTCAAGACTTCAACAATCCTGTCATGAATTGCTCAGTAAATGTTTCTCAAATGAGGCAGATTTTGTAACTCTTCACCTGGCAAGCATACTATGCTGTTTAAGTGATTTACTGAATTCCAAATAGCTGGCTAGTCAAGAACTTCTGGAATGCAGTGTGCACGTAAGTGAGAGAGTATTGGTTTACCACATCGATACCACCAAAGCATACAGTAAATTCAGAGGTGTGATTTCCTTACTGCTGTTTTATTACCACTAGTGTTAGATTTTATTGTAGAACCATGTTTTCATGCCACCTTGCCTTGCTGTTCTTTCAAATTTTATCCTATAGAAACTTGTGGAAGGGAGGGCAATTTCCCCTCTTCCCTGAGACGGGGGGAATCATTTTGTCGGGTGTTCTGTACATTAGAGTTATGATAATGACAAAGAGCCTCCTCTGTCATATAGCAGGATGGATGTGAGTCCAGATAACAGTTTGCAGAAAGCTGAACATCTTTATGCTCACTGTGATTAACTTTGGCACAGTACCTCCACTTCAATTCTTTTAATTGAAAAAGTTTTTTTCCATGTAATATATTCCTTCCCTAAACTCCTCCAAAATTCAAGATAAAATAAATCACAACTGATAAGACACTGTTTAAATATTATTTAAGTAATATTTTAAATATTATTACCTTTTATTTCTGTTAAAATCCCCTGTGCTACTGAGTCTTTATGTCAACTTGACGTAGGCTTGAGTATTTGAGAATAGAGACCCTCCATTAAGAAAATACCCACCCAAGATTGGCCTGTAGGCAAGCCTGTATGAATTTTTCTTGATTGATGATTGATGTGGGATGGGACAACTCACTGTGAGCAGTGCCCTTGGCAGGTGGTTCTGGGCTGTATTAAAGAGCAGGCCGAACAATCCAGTAAACAGTGGTTCTCCATGGCCTCCGTTTCAGCTCCTCTCTCCACGTTCCTTCCCATTTTGAATTCCTGCCCTGACTTCATTCAGCAATGGAGTGTGACTTGAGAATTGTAAGATGAAATAAACCCTTTCCTGTCCAAGTTGTTTATGGTCATGGTGCTTTATAACAGCAATAAAAATTCTACCTAAGACATAACTGCAGGAAAGAACATTTGTAAAATCTGGCCATGCCAAACTTCTTTAGGCATGGCACATACTCACAGGAAGTTAATCCAATTCCTGTGTGATAGACTTTGTGTTACTAAAAGATTGCACTGATTAGTTTTATTGGTTCTTCATTTCTTCCTTTTCTTAATGATCTATATTGAGTGATTTCCAACCTTTGGCATGAAGTTAGCTGCTATTATTATCTCTGAGACCTGCACACTTAGAATTCTGTGCAAGGGTACATACACAGCATGTTGCATATGGTTTTCAGGCTCCTGGAGACTCAAAATTTATTGTTTAAACTGAAAACCAAATTAAATTGATATCTTTGAAACCTTGAAGCTAAATCAGGTCAAATGAATCATCCACTGTGTACCATGAGGAAACCTAATTCATAGCTCATCTTTGTCTCTTTAGTGATTGTATTGCTTTGTTCTGTGCTAAGTATGCAGTCTTTCTCTCTTTCTTCATCTTTCTCTTTCTCTTCAACGTCAATCATACAGCACAAGACTAAGCCAATCTGCATTGCACTTAAGAATTGATTGAATAATGGATTTAGACTGGGTTGTAAAACTTCATGAAAATGTATACCATCTCATTTTTTATTATTATGTGTCTAGCTCTTAACATTGCCTGGCATAACATAGAAGGGACATTGTAAATATTTATAAACATTGAAAGACTGAATTCTCTTTATTGGAAATGACTGGCTTATAAAACTTTTTATAGAATTCAACAAAATACAGTGTACTTCATGCCGACATTTTCATAGATTCATGGTTCCATAGGTATCCCTAACGCTTCAGACATTGCAGTTTAAACTCTATATTTTCATTCCCATTTTCCCCTGTGATGCCTATCCCAGTGAAATAGTAGTCCACATGCTTATTACCACAAATAAACTATGAGCCCCCAACACTGTGTCATGTATCTGTGCTGCTTTCATACATATTTTTGGCCATGTAACATGAATATATTGAAGTCAATATGCCAAATATTGGCCCAATTGCTGGCCCTGTAGACTCTGTACTCATTCACCCTTCACTGGCCTAACAGAGTTAACTACACAGGAAAAAAAAAAGGAACACAGTAGGAAAACTGACATTCTGATAAAGCAATGTAAACAGTAAAAAGCAGGAAAAAAAATACTGCAAGAATTCAATTGTGTTCTTTGCTTTCCCTGGGCCCGGAGAGTTCTGTAGGTGTCTTTATTTAACTTCATTTGCTGCTGATGTTTTCCATATTATTTTAAGGATTAAAAATTAACCTGTAAGCTCCTGTAAGCCTGTAAGCCCCACTTGCCCAAGAACCAGGCAATTTTGGGAACTGAAGTTCTTGGAAAATAACAAAGTCTTGTGAGAAAGTATAATGGCTTATGAGTTTTTGTCCTTAAAAGCCCCTGCAAAGTGACTCAGGGCCATCTGTTGGGAAATTCCAGGGAGTGGTCCTGACCAAAGCCCATCTCTTGGCCAGTACTTAATATTTAATAAAGTTTGCTTCAAATTTGACCCAAAATGGTTGTAATAGGTTTTTTTTCTCCAGCAAATTAGAATTAACAATAAAACACAAACCTTCCCTCTTGTGTAAGACTTCTTTTTTCCTAAAGGCTCACTATTTTATCCTCATTATATGCTTCTTGGTTCCAGTATGCTTCCTTCCTTTGCATTTATAACAATTTTCCACTAGGCTTAATACTTATGGAAAAGAAAACATACCCAAACATGTCTTTTCCAGTCTTATCTCCACACAGTTCCTGCTGTATGATAGACTCCTCTAATGAAAGCCACCCCTTACTTCATTGTGACATCATCCACCATGCAGCCTTCACATCCTCGGATAAGTATTTCCTCTCCAGGATCCCAAAGCCATTTCATGCACTGTTCCTTGCAACGTGTTGTGGTTGGTTTCCATAGCAACCGTTATGCGGTTGACAGTTCTTCTTCATGCAGAATGAGGAACTGATGGACCAGTTAGAAGGGCTGTTCGCCGGTCACACAAGTGTTTGCTCCACTGATGAAGTTCACTTAGCACTAACTAGCTTCTTATTTTTGAAAACCCGTTTTCTCTTCTTTGACGACCAAAATCTTTGTTCATGTCAGTTTTCTTTTGCATTCCAAACAAGTGACTCTGAAGCCGTTATGAAGATTATTTCAGGAATAGTTTATTTTCTATGAAAAAAAAATCTGTCTTTGGGACACCTATTGAAGAATGTAGAGTTGGAGTGATTTGTATAAAAAAAAAGATCTAACTTGATACTACGGGCTAAAATTAATGTGCATTTGTAATACAGCAGCGTGCTAACATACCACACTGCACATGTTTAGAACGTAAAACAGGTCTTTCCTTTCCATTCGTAAAATGCTATGGGCCTAAGAACACTGAGGCAGATTCCATTATAGTCTCCAAGATGCTTTGGACAAATTAAAGTAAAAAAATATCTGCTCTTTTGTGCTGAAAACTATGCTTTTCAGTTTACCTCCAACTGAAGAGACTAGGCACATCAAAATATTAGCACTGGATTTGGCTTTGAGTATGGCATAGATGCAGAGTTTGGCATATGTGCAGAGGTATGGCATAGATGCGAGGGCACAGCATAGATACAGGTTATGGCACATAATTTTTATAACCACAGCTCTTGAGCGAATTTGTCATCTTTAGTTCTGATCCTATCAAGAAACCTTAATTGTAGCATCTGAAAAAGGGTTTTAGCTCTATCCTGTGCTGTCTAGGATGTCTCTTCATCTACCTCATTTCTTTTTCCATCAGTAAAACTAGAGCACATCCGGCCTGATCTGTTTGCTTCACGGGTACTTAAGAACAGCTAAGTCAACAAACGAAGGAATGCTATCTCACTGCTGTTCAAATGAAGTGTGCCTTCCAGTCAAATAGAGTTCTAGAGACATATTCAACTCAGTCAAAACCACATCTAACATGAATTGATTATAAGGTGTCGGCCTTTATGACTTCCTTCTTTGTGGTAACCGTGTGGTGCTGATGTGACAGGTGCCCCAAAGGGCTGCTTACCCAGCAGAAGAAATTGATTGAGAAAATGCCTTACACGAACCAGTATCACTTCCTGTATTTCCTGCAACAGAGTCTTACAAAATATGTTTCTTAGGGTAAATGTCATCTTTCAAAATACGCCTGCCAGGAATTGAAGTAAACAACAAGAACAACAGCAACAACAACAAAAAACCTTAGGCATCCAGGACTTTAATTTTAAATATGTGACATACAAGATATTGAAAATACAAGTCAGCAATAAATGCCCAGAAACTTAAAGACCTCAAGTCCTTAAAAGTAATGAAACATTTTTGTCACTCACAAATTATTAATTTTTAAAAGCAAAACCAAACAAATTTGAAAAGCAAATATTAAAAGTTGATTTTTTTCACGTATGATTATTGACTCTTTGCTAAAATAAAATCATATAGCAGAGACTAAGGTATAAACAGGACTATGGTTATTATTTTGGTTGAGACAGTCCAGTTTTATATTTTAAACATCGGCTGAATTATATGGAAATATGAGTTAGAAGCAGAAATAACTTCTTGAGTCTTTGTAAGGCTCACACATTTTGTGGAGACAGATTAAAAGTGGCTTGTACTAAATCCTTTTTTGAGAAAAGTGCAATGAAGTAAGAGAAGAACAAAAAAGTGTCATTTGAAAATGACTAATGGAGAAATTCATTAGAATGGCCAAGAATGGCAAAATTTGATGTCAAAACTGGATCCAGGTATAACAGAGTGGCCAGAGTCCTAAATTAACAGAATTCAATGAGGAGCTGCAGAAAACACCACATGGTGGTTTCCTAAAGCAGGGCTTTCAGTTGTTCATATTTTTAAATTATTTTTATTAATTACAGCTCACTCACTTTGAATGCCCCTGTATCTCCCTCCCACCTCTCCTCCCAGTCCCACCCTCCCTCTTTTCCACCTGTGTCCCTCTCCCAGTCCACTGAAAAGGGAGGTCCTCCCCCCCTTCCCTCTGGAAAGATGGCTCTGTCATGAAAGGCTAGGCTCATAACTATAAATATAAGAGTTCATATTTTCTTAGTCCTGGCTGCAAAACATTAATCTTGTTTTATTATCAAGAAGGGATTCCAAGCATTTGAAAACTGTACCTGAGACAGGAAGCTTGATTTTAATTTTGATTTTGAATTAGAATTTTAGTTTCTCTTACTTACACACAAAGTTGTCCAGATACTCAACTATCTGTAGCATAGATAGTGTAGTATAGATTCTTGGATGTTCTGTGCAAAATGAGATGTTAAAAACAAAACCTCTTTTTACGTTTGTTACGTGTGTACGTGCGTACATAAACAGTGAACCACTTTTCCTCCCTAGGGTTGCACTGAAGTAGTGGATTTTCATAACGTGTTACCGGAAGGCATGAACTTGAGCTTTTTCATCCCATTGGTTTCAAATAATGGGAATTACACGTGTGTTGTCACGTATCCTGACAACGGACGCCTCTTTCACCTGACCCGGACTGTGAGTGTAAAGGTGGTAGGTAAGCATGGCTTGTTGTTCACACAGGGGCACTGATTCTGTTTGGGTTCTTGATAGTTTATTATGCGTACTTATGAATGTTCCAAACACAGAATGTATTCATGGCACTGTCCCTAGAGCCTGTAAGCAGGTCCATGTATGCAGTAAGCACTCAGTCGCTGTTGGTTGACTTCCTGCGTATGTGAATGAACATGAACGATGATCATGCCGGGAAATGTGAACACAGCTGGGTAGATGGGAGGCCACATTCTACCAGTGCCATCTGCTAGTCATATGACTTTGATGAAGGCCTCAGTCTTAGCTGCATAGCAAGACAGAGGGAGAAAGAGAGAGGATGGTGGGCTGTGTTTAACAGGTTTGGGTATACTTGGGTGGATTAGAATATATTTCTCCATACCCCATCTTTTACTAGATGGGAACACCACGTAGAGGAGCTGCAAGATCCAAGAGAGCCCTTTCTCTCCTTTTCTGAGGAGAAGGGGAAGAGTGGTGGATAGGGACAGGTGAGATGAGATGTAGAACTGGGAGAAGAGGAGGGAAGGGGTGTTGCCATCAGGATGTTAATAAATGATTTAATCAATAGAAATAATTAATTAATTTAAAAATGAGTTTGTGGAAGGATTGTAAATCACAAACACTGCCTGAGGTATTTTCTTTAGTGACTGCCATCAGATTCTATATAAATTATTACCAAAAACAAAAGGAAAAAGAAAAATTATAAGCTTTTAACACAACACAAACAAAATCTAAACCAACCAATTCTGTAATCATATTTCTTTGCTTACTATTTGGAATGATGCTGTGTTGTGAACTAATTCACAAGAAAAAGAAGACAAACAAATGAGGAAGCTGAGTGTGTTTTAGAAATTATATAAGATTATATTAACATCGGAATTTGTATATAATTTATTTGCATATACATATACTTTATTTGTATTTGCAAAGGTAAGAACATGTGTTCTTGGTCATCGACTTATAGAAATAAAAATTGACAGGTACAGGGTGATGATGTCAGTTTTAACCAACTTTCACATGGTACAAGTTCTCTTTTTAAAGCTTTAACATATTATGTATTTATTAAACTTCACTAAAGGATGCTTTAGTATATCTTATTTAATTCATTTCTAACAATGAGGTGAATTTTATTTACCATATTTAGATTTTATAGAAAAATTAGTTTTAAAAATGAAATATACTCATGTACATATGATTAATATATGGAGAACACTGAGTGAGATCCTGGTCAGTCTTTACATCCACACCCCTAAATACTATACTGGGTCCAGAGATATGGCTCAGTGGTTAAGATCACTGTCTTCTCTTCTAGAGAACCCAAGCGAGCTGACACTGTTTTATGACCTTCACGCATGTGATGCACAAGCATTCAAGCAGGCAAAACATTCATATCCATAAAATAAAAATAAACAAAAAATTAAGAAAACACTACACTGCCAAGTTCTTTCAAGGTTACTTTAATGTACACGTATAGACCATGAAGACATCAGCATTTCGATGCATGGACATTTGGCTAGTAACCCAAGATCAATTAGTCAGACATATGTAGAGGTGTGAAATTTTTCCACATAGCGAAACATTCACTTAATATTATCCAGGTCCCATACTAGACATTCTGAACATTTGGGGAAGAGATAATTAGATGATAAGCACAAATAATAAGCATGGTTTACAAATTGAAAACAGGTACTTCCATGTGTCAAATACTTGTGGTAAAAGTAGCTTGGAAATTAAAAGAGGAATAATAATAAAAAAAAAGAATAAGAGATGAAAGGATTTATTTCCAATATGGCAAGAGAAGTCTTAAGTCACACGAACACCGGAAATCAACAGCACTGATAAAACAATCTACCCACCTGAAAAAATACAAGAGATTCAATAAGTATATATATATATATATATATATATATATATATATATATATATATATTTGCAAAGAAAAACTGTTTTCCTGCACTCACAACACTTCTGTCATGAAATGTAAGATTTTTCCACACCAGTAGTTTTTCAGTTCTTTGAGAAACCATCTGTTTCGTATAGCTTAATTCATTTTGATGCTGACTACCTGAAGTTAGCACAGACCCCACAGATTGACAACTCTATCTTTAGGGAGTCTAAGGGACTTGCATGTTCTTTGCTCAGGACCTGGGGACTAACAGTAAGTAACAGGGCACTAAGATGAAAGATGCTTATGCCACCCACAGCACTCAGGAAATTAAAGGGCTCTCATGAGTTCTGTGTTAGGAATAAGTAATAGTGATGAATATTTCCCATGACATCACATTTTGTTTATTTTCAATGAGTGAAGTCCAGGAATTGAGTATATATTAGACTGTGGGCCTTCTCAAGAATTGACAAACCATGCCAGGAAGTTGAACAAGTTTGCCGCAGAGTTTTGCATAAGCCTAAATGGTTTAACATCCCCCCTTTTGCATTCTTATCATAGGCTCGCCAAAAGATGCATTACCGCCCCGGATCTATTCTCCAAACGACCATGTTGTGTATGAGAAAGAACCAGGTAATTATAGGTTCTGAGTTCTGGTTACAGTCTCTTAATTACAAGAAGTAAAACGTAGGTTAGTGTAAGATAGTAAAGTTTGATTGTAAGGAAATGCACAGATTTAAAGTGAAATATGATTAAAAGCCACAGCATTTGAGAATTGGCTACTCCATCATTCTCAAGGCAGCTTGGGAATTCTAACTTCTTTCTTAGTGTCAGGGCCTTTATTCTCTATTCTTTGTCTTCCTCTGTGATTATTGTTTGACTTTACTCAGGGATTTGGTTTGCCTGGGCTGTAATAATAGCACAAGACAGCTTCTAAGCATTGCTTCCTCTTCGGAGCATAAAAGAGTCAGTACTGAGAGTATCATGGGAAAAAACAGATCCATGAATGCTGTATTCAGAACTCTGTCAAATAGTTGTCATGCCTCCCTGGGTTTTCTATAAGTTTTCTTAACTTTTTATTCTAGGAAGAAATCATTCATAAGTTATCAAATAAGAGATATCTTTTGTTCTTTTGACTGAAAGCCTCCTACACTAGAGTAGGACATCATAGAAAATTCTAATGCTTTTATATCATTTTCTATACAGTAAAACCTTTCGAGACTTAGTGAGAAATACGGAACAGTTGTTTGTGTGGACTGAAGGTTATAGAGCCAGAGATTGTGTGAGTGGATTACCAAAATGGAAATGTTCTCTTGAGTTTTCCAATATGATTTGTCTTGTAAAGAGTACAGGAGATGTTAAGAGGCTTGGCTAACCTCAGATGGACTGCTTTTCCTGGAGTTAATATGGGCTTTGTGTAGTAATTTGAACATTCTTGCCATTGCCGAGGTAAAGATCTGTCAGCCACACAAGTATGTTTCATCTTTTTGTCATTGCCACACATCAAAAGCATTCCTGAGCTCTTGTTGAGTTTATCTTCTTCGGTGAAACAATGATTTCAAAGTCTGTAGTAGGGAGAAGTTAGAGAAGGCATGCATCGAAATGGAAGATCTAGTGTAATGTCAAATCCAAGATAATTAGAAGTGTCTTCAGAGTCCAGGCAATAGTGAACCAAGAATACAAGCATAGAGCAGAATTATTCTCAGCAGGCTGGTGTGACATTTCCACCCAGGTCAAATCATTACTTAGTTCTTACTAACAACTTGACCTACAAATACTTTTTGATGTGTAGAAAATTTAGCTTTTGCCTCTGTAGAACATTAATTTTTAAGAAGACTTCATGCTGTTTGATTAAGAATAAATACCTACTGTAAGGAAAACTTGCTTGGGAAGGAGGGAGGCGGCAACACAGAAGGAGAGGGAAGGTGAAGGAATACATAACATTAAGGATGTTTTAAAGGGTGTAGAGAATTATGCTATTTTATGTTTACTTAGAATTACAATATATACCCACATATGTATTCATACATTATATATATATATACATACATATATATGTATATATATAATGTATGTATATATATACATATATATATATACATAATATATATATATAATATATATAATATATATATATATATATATATATATAATTATAGTTACACCAATTGGATAAAAATTCTCTTCCCCCAAAAACATAGTCTATTTAACAAACACTCCAGTGTCAGGCATGAGATATCTCCTTTCAAGTGTTGGGCCAGAGAGTCTAGAAAACTCCCCAACAATATAGGCTATTGCCGATGTCCTTGATAGCCTCTCAAAGACCCTGTCACGGATAATACAGCACAGTTTAAGCTCAGAACTTGGAGGAAGCAGTCCGAATCTAACCTAGAAGTTTCTTTTCTGAAACCTAGCTCTCACAGTATGGGAATGAGATATGCAAGCTCCCAAAGGAGAATGCAGCCAATAGTTCCACCAATCTGTAAAGCCTACCAACCAAAAAAGCCAGAACAGCAAATCTTCCAAAAGGTACAATAATGGCAGTTATATTCCAGGGCTCAACCAGCAGCCATCATATTATAGTTAAAGTCTGCTCAATAAGTAGGAAATCATGCCTGACTCTGTAAACCTAGCCAGCTGGTGAGGCCACCAAATCTGCGCTGTGCCTAAATCTGTATAATTTCTATCTTCTGTCTAAATACTCACAGGTAGGTATAGCTGTCACCTATCATCAGAGAAGCTTCTTTTTGCAGCAGCCAAAGACATACTGATCAAAATGGAGAGAACAATTGATGATGCGGTGCCTCTCCCCAGCTGATACTTCTAGAACACAGTCCCTTCACCTGAAGCTCAAGGAACACATACACATATAATTGTGTGTCTAATTTTAAGCAACTGTTTTGTAGACTCTTCTATATTCCTGGCTCTTACATCTTTTCTGTTTTACCTTCATCAACATTTCCTGAGCTTTGGAAAAGGTGATACAGATTCCCCATTTAGGGCTAGGCACTCAACAGTCACTTTATTTATTTCAGGGCTTTATCCATACCCATGTTTCAGTAAACAACACCCAACACCCATGCTCATGAAAACAGTCATGAGTAAATTCAGGGGTTCATGAAAAAGACTTCAAAGTAGGAAGAAGCTTGTTTGGAAAAAGGTGTTCAGCAGAGTAGAGGAGCAATGGTCCTGGCAGGGCTTAATTACACGAATCTACGAGATTTTGAAAGAATAAAAAAGGATAAAGGCAAACATTAACAAGTGTAAGTATTTAGCTCTACCAACTTCAGAGCAATTATATTGGTCACGACATGATCATGATCGTTAGCACTGTTATCCCTGTTTGTGATCCTTCCTAAATTGACAAACCATCTCAGCCACATAGCTTAGGACTGCTGTTGTAAACTAAGTTTCCGATGGTTTGGAGATGAGGAATCCCTAGTCATTTTTTTTTTGTGGTCACTGTTGTTGTTTGAAGGAGATTTACCTCCCCCTTCCCCACCCCATGGCTCATATATTTGGATAATTAGTGCCAAGTTTGTGGAACTGTTTGAGAAACGTTTTGGGCTATTGCTGAGAACGGGTTTTGAGGTTTCAAAAATCTCGTGCTGTTCCTAGTGATCTCTCTCGGCCTCATGTATTTTTCCATGAGAAGTGATCTCTCAGCTACTGCTCCAGCACCATGTCTGCTGGCCCACTGCCATGGCCCCTGTTATGATTGTCATAGACTCTATCCCTCTGGAATCATGAACCCCAAATTAAATGCTCTCTTTTATAACTTGCCTTGGTCATGATGTTTTATCACAACTAAAAAGAACCTAAGACAGTCATTGCCCTGAGGGACAATTATGGATCATTTCAGGAATTCTGAGAATCGCGATTCTCATCTTCATAATAAATAACAAAGTCATGTTTAATAAATAAAAAGGGCAGGGGAAGGTTGTGGCCTAAAAAGGATGTAGTCAGCGTCCTTCTGGCATTTTAGAGCTTATTTATCTAGTGCTAAAAATGGCCATTCAAGTAATTTTTTTGTATAGATACTGGAATTTTCTTCTTGGTTTTATCCTTTTGTGCATTTGATGTTGGAAAGAAATATGGCAGGTTGCCTCATAGTGGCACATATGGTCATATGAGAGATATGTATTGATGGATTAATATAGGTTAACTTCATATATTAAATTTGTTTTTTAGGAGAGGAGCTTCTCATCCCCTGTAAAGTCTATTTCAGTTTTATTATGGACTCACACAATGAGGTTTGGTGGACTATTGATGGAAAGAAGCCTGATGATGTCACTGTTGACATAACTATTAATGAAAGGTATTGTGCCTACGTGCTCTAGACTTTGTCAGTCTAAAATCTTGATAAATAACCATTCAGTGCACATGATTATTATTTTTCTGTTAGTAAAATTTAGCAGGATTTTCAAATCTTCAGTGGCTGCATCCTAAAACAGGGTTACTGAACTTGCAACCCAATTATACACACTTGCCAGATTACATGCGCCGAACTTTGGAATTCTGTGATTTTGACTCTGGGCAGCTTCAGCTCACAGGGTGTGGATCATATTGTCTTAAGCTCAGTTAACTTCAGATGTCTGTTATTCTTAATTAGAAATAGATGGCGTGTATCTCCCACATGAATCCAAAGGTGAATGAGAAGGAGAAATATTGGGGTATTTATCTCTCTCAGTCCTGAAGTATGGCTCTAGATATTTGCATCTCACGTAATTATGTGTATTTCTTCTATTGAAGTGACTACACCTTCCCTATACTCCCTTGACACTTGAGAATCACTTGTTAACTATTAACTAATTACATTTTTGTTTTTTAAAATTTACTTTTAAAAGCAAATGTAAGAAAAAAAAAAAAACCTCTCACAGAGCTAAATTTTAAAGCCTATGGGTAATAATACAAACCTCTCTTAATATAACAACTTGGGTCATTTTATTCTTAAGTAAACTTGATATTTGTAAGAGAAATGTACAGGTCTCCAAAGACTGAAGTATAAGTGAAGTATAAATTTCTAGAGAGAATCAGTTTGCTGTAGAAACTAATAAATCACAGTGCTCAGGAATGTGACAGAGTAGTTGTAAGCCCGTAAGTTTGGTCATTTTGGGCAAACAGACCTTACGCTAATTGAATTTCTACATTCAATCCTGTTTCTTTCCTAATAGTAAGTTGAAAGTTTGGACAAATTATAAATTGCCTCCTTTGAACAGCTTCTTACCCTATTTAGCTAGGTGTCATAGGACAGTGACAGCAGGCATTTAAATATTATATGATAACTAAATGAGAAAAAGTGGATGGTACAGGAGAGATTCCTAGGGGATTGTGTCAGTTCAGGTGGCATGCCGTAGATGAAACAGGGTTCAAATCAAATTTTCTAAATTAAGAAAGGAAAGGAAAACTGGTAAAAGAGACATTGTATGTAAAGACCTGGATGTTAGAGAGACAGAAAGTAAGTGAAAGGGAAAAAGAGAGAAAGAAAAAGAAAAAGCCTCCAAAATGGAATGCTTTGTATAAGAAGCTGATGAAAAGTTTGGCATGAGGCCCTGAGGGACAATTATGGATCATTTCAGGAATTCTGAGAATCGCGATTCTCATCTTCATAATAAATAACAAAGTCATGTTATTCTACCTTGCTGTGATTAAGACATGTACAGTATTCAGAAGAGCAGGAGATAAAGCTTGGAAGAAAACAACCAGGCCCTTAACTAATATTTTATGAATGACAGCCAGTCCTATCTAAAGGAAAACCTGGGTGTTGGTCAGCGAAGGAAGAGATATATTTAGACCCCTCTGAGCAAAATAGTTCAAAGAGATTTTAAATATTGGTCTTAAACACAAAACACTTGGTCCTGGACTTGCTGGAATTTGGATATTTTATTGCACAGTTCAGTTTCATCATTCTGAGCGATTTCTTCCCTTTGTATGTTAGGATTTAACGATGCAGTTCCAATATTTCACAGAAACATTCTGCCTGTGTGTGGAAGTCAAGCTTTCAGTGCCTTTGCCTTTGCAGTACAACAGTTATCGTGGGGTTAAAATAGCTCTCCAGAGCATTCGTCAAGCACTGCTGCTGCACAGATGCTTGCTCAGTCTTCAGAGTATTCCAGTAAATTATTCATAGAATACACTCTTTTACAAAACAGCCAAGACGTGGAAAGTTTAGTGACATCGCCCAAAGAATACAGCATCACATGACAAAACATGCATCAACACCTAAATAAGTCTGATCCCAGAAGATCCTTTTCAAGGTGATACAGGCATCAGGCATCGTGCCCCCGCATCTAGATCAAAGTGACATTTAGCTCTAAAGATGTGTAGTGAGCTTTGGGGTTTGTCCAGCATTGTGATAGCAGATGAGATCCTTGTCAGCACCACATCTGCCCTCATCCAGGATTCTAGAGTTGTCTACTCCTGATTCACACAGAAGGCATAGCCCTCCTGTCTCACAGATACTTTGGTTTCCTTCTCTTTGTGTATAGTGTGAGTTATTCGACAACAGAAGATGAAACAAGGACTCAGATTCTGAGCATCAAGAAAGTCACCCCTGAGGATCTCAGGCGCAGCTATGTCTGTCATGCTCGAAATACCAAAGGGGAAGCTGAACGAGCAGCCAAGGTGAAGCAGAAAGGTAATGGATGCACCCAGCCAATGACTCTGTGAGCTCTGAAAATGACACTGTGGTGAACAGGAAACCAGGGAGAGCGCTCCAGCACCCATCACACTGGACACAAAATAATGAGTCAGTTAAAGGAGAAATCTTAAGAGAAAGCTTCCCTCTTTGCGAAGATGCTCTGTATGTTGGTTCTGAGTGTCAGCTCTTTAGTTTCTAAAAATGACTTGAGAAATCCATGAACGCAATAATGAGACACAATTTTATATCTTAGATAATCATTAAAGATGAAAATATTCAAAGCTAGCAAAGATTTGATAGAACAGCCAGCATCAAATATTGGTGGGGAAGTACAAAGATGCCTTTAGAAATAACTGAAAGCAGAGTTCGAGGGTCACAAGCTGAAAGCAGAGTTCAAGGGTCACAAGAATGATTGTGCTACATGACCTAATCCATTGGGAATTTTTCCTGAATTATGCATCCACCACTATTCTTAGAATGTAAGAGAGAGTGAAACACGCAGAGTAGCCATCCATTTGTGTACAAGTAGTTAGGGAGGGCGTGGATAATAACTCTCAGAAGAACGCAATTTCAAATTCACATTTTAAACATGGTGCATCAGTACTTAGTGTTATAATGCTATACTGATAAAATAAAACTTACTAAAATATTATTTCACTTGATGTTAAAATAATTCCTGTATTAACATCTGTGTTTTCTACAATAAATAAAAATTACAAATCCATCTTGTGTGAGCTTTTGCTCCTAAAACATATCGTCTAAATTTCTCTTTGGGTGTTTTCTTTAACACAGATCCCAAGCAATTGATCCCTTCCAGAATATTTTCCAGTGATATGGAGTAAAGTTAGCAGTGACATCACATAGCAATCATCCCCCTCTCATTTGATAGAGTTTATACCATTTATACAAAAAATTTTTACATCTGCATTAGACTTGAATTCTTTTTTTTTTTTTTTAGCTGAAAAACAAACAGAACACACTTGAATGTTTTGTTGCTGATTATAAAGAAATAAATTGCATGTGGCTCTTAAGTCTTTTTGGGGGGACTGTTGGTTCTCTCTTGGAGCTTCTGACCCCTCTAGGTCTTTCTATCTCTCCCTTCTTTCATAAGATTCCTCACATTCTGCTCAAAGTTTGGCTTTGAGTCTCAGCCTCTGCTTTGATCAGTAGAATCTTTCAGAGGCTTTCTGTAGGAGGCATAGGGGAAGAACAGGGAGGAAGGGTGAGATTTAAAGGAGATGAGGGAGGGGTCCATAACTGGGATACAAACTGAATAAATTGTAATAAATGATAATGATTTTAAAAAGTAAAAAAGAAGTCATTTTTATAATTAACATTTAAAGTTTTTTATCATTACAATTTATTCACTTTGTATTCCAGCTATAACTCCCTCCTTCATCCCCTCCCTATCCTACCTTTCCTTCCTCTTCTCCTTTCATCCCCCTCCCACTGATAGGGGAAGTCCTTTTCCCCATCCATCTGACCCTACCCTATCAGGTCTCCTCAGAACCAGCTACATTGTCTTCCTCTGTGGCCTGGTACAGCTGCACTTCCCCAGGGGAAAGTGATCCAAGAGCCAGCTACTGAGCTCAAGTCACAGACAGCCCTTGTTCCCCTCATTAGGGAATCTTCTTGGAGGCTGAGCTGCCATGGGCTACATCTGGGCAAGGGATGTTGGTTATCTCCATGTGTGGTCCTGGTTGGAGTATCAGTCTCTGCAAAGACCCCTGGTCCAGACTTTTTGGTTCTGTTGCTCCTCTTGTGGAGCTCCTGTCCCCTCAAGGTCTTTCTATCTTCCCCTTCTTTCATAAGATTCCCTGCACTCTGCCCAAAGTTTGGCTATGAGTCTCAGCATCTGCTTTGATACCCTGCTGGGTGGAGTCTTTCAGAGGCCTTCTGTGGTAGGCTCCTATCCTGTTCCCTGTTTTCTCCCACTTCAGATGTCCATCCCATTTGCTTTCTGAGGACTGAACAACTTCCCTAGGGTCCTCCCTATTTAGCTTCTTTAGGCATATAGATTTTAGTGTGTTTACCCTATATTGTATGACTACTGTCCACTTATAAGTGAGTATATACCATGTGTGTCTTTCTGCTTCTGGGATACCTCAGTAAGGTTGATCTTTTCTAGTTCCTTAAAGAATTTTCTTGGGATGCTCTTTGCTTCCACTCCTCAGAAGCCTGCTGTAGGGATGGGAACACTGTATAGCTTCATTGACCGGTCCTGTGGATGGTGCTGAATCGCTGTAATCCCACAGCGGATTATCTGTGCTGTAGCATCATGTCCCCTGATGAAATCCTCATTTCCATGCAGCCTAACTTTCTGACTTTGGAGAAGTCAGACTCTCATTTGAGTCTCGTTAGTTTTATCACTAAAATGAACAAAATAATACCAGTACCTCTAAGGTTGTTTAAAAAATCCTCTGATCAAGGATTGTTTTAAATGCATACCGCTATCAGCTGTTCAATAAATGCTAGCTCTTAGGTCTCCCAGGGGTTCATAGGCATTAAATAACAAAAATATCTGTAAGCCAATAAATATCATTATAGTCTAGGTTAGAAAATAAATCCAATTACTTGATGGTTCAGAACTCTTAGAGTCTTCAATAGTTATCATTCCAAATGAAGGTTTCCAGGGGCCTAGATTGCTGCAGGCTTAGGTTTAGCAATTGTGTTAGAACCCAGAGTTTAGGGGGCTTCCCTTCCTAAGTTTGTACTCTGCGGAGCAGTAATGGAAGATGACACAAGTTAAAAACGTATCAAAGAATAAGATCTGACCACAAATAAAATAATGTTTTATGGGGGAAACACATGCAAAGATGTTTGCCACCCGACCCGAGTAGCTGCAGTAGCACAGAAACTCTGGCTCTGAGTGTAGTGTGGACAGCAAAGGGGACAGTATGGCGGCTGTGCAGGGACGCGTAACCCGCGTGTTCAGTGAGTGCTGACACTTATATTTCACGTCTGCATTTAGCCAAAAAGATGACAGGAAGCACAAACTGGTGGTCCAGGCTTGGGAATAATTCCCTGGCATAGCTTTGATTGGTGGCACATTTTATCCACCCAGTTACAGTACTACATATGAGAGAGCTAAAGTAAACATCCTGAACATGCAGATGTTTTGTGAGCAGAGACTGGCAAAGGGCTATGGAGATGTGTGCCTTTCATCATATGAGAACTGCCGGCACCCACACTCTTATTTTCTCATCAGTGTTTGGTGTTGTCAACTGTTAATCTTTTAGCGTTGGATCTCACTGCGGTTGCTCTTTGAAACACTGGTGGTGCTGCAGGCTTTCCTGTAAGCTCACTGATCATTAATAATTCTTTATGTGAGGCAGTTCAAAGTCCTTAGTCCTTTTCAGCCGGGTCGCCTTTTTCAAATTTAATGTGATATACAGCTTACATGACACAGACACACATACATACAATGCACACAAACACATGCATACCCACACAATACAGGCACCCAATGCATATCCTGTGTTAACTAGAAATTTTTAAATATTTTTCATCAAGTTTGTGAATTTATTTATTTTTGAAAAGATTTGCTTTTACTTATCTCTATGCTTTGCCTGCATGTATATATGTATATCATATGTGTTTAGTGCTTGCAGAGGCAAAAATTAAAAAAAAGACATCAGATTCCCTGTAACTAGAGTCAAGGACAGCTGTGAACCAGCATGTAGGGTCTGGGACTGAGACTGCGTCCTCTGATGAAGCAATGGAGCTCTTAGCTCAGTGCCCCAAGGGTTGATTTTTTGATAAGTAGAATTCTTAATAATTTGAGGAAGCTCATTTTATCTGTCTCCTCTTTTATGAAGTAGTACTTTCTGAATCATGCATTTACTCTTCTTTGCTGTGTTAGGTCAAAAGATGTTATGCGTTGTTCAAAGGTTTCTCTTTTCTAGTCAGGCCTACATTCACCGCAGATTGTAGTTTTGAGGGCGGAGGCTGCAGATTGGCATTTGACGTTGCTTTTCTGTTTCTCCACAGGAAGGATTGCTCTGGCGTCGTGTTCAGTGTGTTTGACTTTTTTCTTGGATTGCCTTGAAATTTGGTCAGGAAAACCCAATTGCCTCTATGATTTTATGCATTTCTTAATTGCTTTTCATCAACTTGCCCATGTTTAGTCTAAGATCATTTTTATTAATATAGCTTTAAATTATTAAGTCAGACACACTGTCCACTTTCTCTTTCTCAAGATGGTTTCACTATTTTAGAAGCTACATGTTTTCCTTACATATTTTACCACCAGCTTGTCAGTTTCTACCTGGAATTCAGCAAGGATTTTGATTGAGGTTGTATTAAATTTGTGAAGAATGTTGAAAACAACAATATAGGATGTATTAATCCATGAAGATGATAGATCTCTCCATTCATATAGAGTCTTAGTAATACATTTCATCAATTTAAAAATATTTGAGTGTATAGGTTTTTATTACATATTATCAAATTTGTCTCTAAGTGTTTTCATTTTTTTAGGATTTCAAAAAATTTTAAGGTTTTTCTAAATGTTTATTAATAAGGCGTAGAAATGCAATTAGTTGATTTTATATGCTGATCTGGATCTGATCTTTTCTTTTTATTTTATTTTTTTTGATCTGATATTTTCAAATCCATTCATTTCTACAGTTTTTTTTGTTTTTGTTTTGTTTTCTTTTTCTTAGCACTGTTTTCTTGTGTCAGTTTTCTAGTTGTCCTCTAGAATATTTCCCAGTCTTCTTACATTGCCATGTACAGTCATTTTTTTGTGTATCATTTTCTTGCAATCTTTTCAGAGCCTATAGAGATTTCAGTGATTTATTTTGTCATAAATGATTCCTGTCACTTTTCAAGAATGCATTTTTAAGATTTTGAATTTCTACTTCACTGAAATGTCTTCATTGATTCTTCCAATTTACTCCCCATGGTGTTCATTTTTAAACTCCTCAACAGACACACTTTATTATGAATTTACTTATCTAGTCTTTAAATCATCTCTGGCAATTCTGGGTTCTATTTTTACTTGTTGATATTTCTTTCAAATATCGACCTTTTATTTTAATTTTTATTCTATCTGCGGCTTTATCATAATTTGGGCCCCAATAGGTGCTATGTTGTTGGATGTAATTTTTGAGAATGTTGAGTTTTTTATTATAGTGGATAGCTAACTTGTTTACATCATAGGTCTCCTCTCCTTTCCTCTCTCTCTTCCCTCCCTTCCTTTCTTCCTTCAGGGATTATCTTGATTACATATATTAAGGCAGTTGGACATGCCCCATTTGTTAGGGCTTAGAGGACATACTCCTCAGGCACAGCCTTTGGCATTGTAAGCTAGCCACTGCTCCTTCGCTCTGAGGCTGAACCCCCGGGTGCTACCAGACCTGCATGTGCTCCTATGGTTGTTTATATCCTAGACACTGTTTATAGGACATTCTTAAGTGTAAACCCAAGTGTCCACAGTTTTGCATTTGGCCACAGACTGAAGATAACTTCATGAAGATTTCTAGAGTACATTTTCTACTCCGTTCTCATCTTTCTGCTACTTGGTCCTTGAAATTCAACCAGACCCAATAGTCTCTACCTTCATATCTCTCACTAGCTCAGAGAAACCACCATCTGCTTATGATTTTTCCTTGTGTACCAAAATCTAAAACAATTGAACAAACAAAAACCTTTGTCATCTTTTAGAAAGAAAAAAAGACATGTTGACCATGAACTTACTAGTTCTCCAACTGTGGAAAGCAAAACTCCATTATTTTAGATATTCTGGAGGAAAGTTTAGTTCAGTATCAGTTACTTCTTCAAGTACCAGTGGTGAGGTCCAGAGGACAGAGGTCATGGCCTCATCCCTGAACCTATCAGATTTGCAGGTCAATTCACATTTCTCTGTTTTGTCATCATTTAAATAAAACACTTCTTTGTTAACATTTCAGACAAATGGTCATCACCACAATTTCAAACATTATGCAGAATTTAGCACTGATTAGCCCTGGGCTCTGTGGCAGGGAACATTTGAAGGTCCAGGCAGCTGGCATATGGAGGGAGAACTCAGGACATTACAAGCCTAGCTACCACAATGCAGATGAATAACTTGGGTTGCCAAGAACAAAGAGAGCCAGGACCCAAAACAGAGCACAGGAGTAGCCTTCAGTTTCTGCATTCTTTTAACAAAGATGGTTGGCTAGGCATATGGGCTTCAGAGCCAATCTCTAACACCGAGCTGCAAAATGAATTCTGATTTGGAGAGTGACAGTCAGCAAATGATGGCATTTGACTACATTCTAATTGAGACTTTAGTGCAATCAATGAGAGCAGGAGTCCAGTGTGGTCTGATTGCATCACTCCTTTCTGTTTGGGAAGCATTTTGTCTAAGATTGCATCAATGCAAATGTGCCAAATGCCAAGCCTTGCAGTGGGAAGGACACAAAGTATAGGCTAAGGGTCCCTGTTTCCCTGTAAGGTCACTCCGGTTTATAAGATAGCCTTATAGAACATAGCCCACACACAACAGCAGCCATTTAGAGAAGCACCCTGGTGGGTTATTTATGTTAGGGTCCAATTGGTTAAGTAGTGTTAGCAAATCTTCAACAACAAGATGACTCCAGGAAACAGTCTGCAACTATGAGCCATATCATTGGTAATACAGAACAAATTTAAAAGTAAAAGAGGCAACAGAAATATGAGCTTGGCAGAGAGAAATTGATGGGGTAATCGATCTTTTGGTCATTACGCAAGGGCTCTGTTAGTATTTGGAAAAGAACGTCCCACCATTTAAAGGACCGTTATCTTGGGGCCAGCAGGCGAGCACATCTGAAAACAACATTCCACTGGTCCGTCACAGAATGACCCTGCACTACATCTCCAACACACTCGGTTCAGGTTAATTAGCTTCAAAGTCCAGGATTTATCCCTAAATTTGAGAACTTAGGTCTCAGCTCCAGACTGTGTGCCATGTTTTCATTGGGATAAAGCATCGTTTTAAAAGTCCTCCCTGCCCCCCAGCATGCGATCAGTAACCTAACTCCATGGCAACATTACACAAAGATACTTGTGCTTTGAAGGGAACCCGGACAGCGGTCCAACTCTGGAGATCATTCTCCCACACCCTGTCCCCGCACACACTCGGCACCTACAGTCTTCAAATTCTCTCAGAAGCTGTCTGTTGCCTCTTCACCATTACAGCTCCCCTGCTCTGGTCTTACTCCTCCTCACTCACCCTGTCATGTTACCTGCTCTTAAAACGCATGCACCAGTAACCATTTTTCAATTAACCAGAATGAATTATGCCCTTGTTTCTTTATTTCCCTGCATTTGATCTTCAGTCCTTCCCATCTTCTCACCATTCTATTCCCCCAAGCTTCCGGGAAATACTTGCCAAGAAAGCCATTGCCAAACCAACCAATACTAACTCCTACCTCATATCCAGTCTGTGTCTTTCTCAAAGTCACAGACGCAGTGCCACAGCCAGTACACCAAACAAATGAAGTTTCTGCCATTGATTGTAGCGCTGGCCTTCTTTTTGTTGTTGTTTTTCCGAGACAGGGTTTCTCTGTGTAGCCTTGGCTGTACTGGACTCACTTTGTAGACCAGGCTGGCCTCAAACTCACAGAGATACACCTGCCTCTGCCTCCCCGAGTGCTATGATTGATGGCATGCACCACCATGCACTTCTGGGCTTCCTTCATTATCCTATTGAGTGAAAAAGAAATAAACAGATAAAGAGTAAAATTCTGTTTCTGGAAGAGTTCAGTGGCATCCCAGGATAGGATGGACAAAAAGTGTTTCCACCCGGAAGAGAATGGAGGTCTAGTTTAGCAGGGAGTGGGCAGGCGTGGAGAACCAGTCCTGGTGACTAACTCAGTTCCATAAGTGCTGAAATAAAATCATAAAAAGAAGGATGAACATTTCTATGCACACAGCTTTGGCTAAGAGAGCTTTATTGGTTAAAGATTATACAAAGTAAACACATGTGCAAATGAACTTTGAAAATTAAAAGAAAAGACATACTCTGGCCAGAAGTTGTACCATGATCACAGCTTGTGCTTGTTTTTCCTGATAACCTTTGAGACAAGGACCTTTGAGCTAGGACAGTGACTGGAGACTTGTTAGAACAGTAGGCAGTGCTGATAGGCCTTCTCAATTGATACCTAGTTTCTAATAAATTAGGAATTTTCCACTCAACTTCTGATACTTCCATAAAGCCTATCTATGATATCCACAAATAGATAATGAAGAAACAGTCAAATCTCAGATAGTGCAAGTCAGTCTTTTAAAGTGTTTGTCATAGAACCGTGAACTTGGAAAATACTAGTACCAAATAACACTCACCATTGTGTGGAATTACCCGTTTCTACCCAATTAAAATACTAGTTTTGAAACCCTTTTTTTAAATGAAGGAAAGAAATTAGATTCCTGATACTGTTGTAAGAAAGAAGACAGAATCACAATTAATAGACACATTAAATATTTTGCTCAAGGTATCTTCTTTGACATTGGGCCTGTCTTTGGGGAGAGTTTGTGGCAGAATACTGCAAGAAATGATCAGGCACAGGATACAAAGCTCTCACTGACCTGGGACTGTGGTACATTGCTGCAGTCTCAGGACACAGGAGGCTGAGGCAGGAAGATGGTTGAGTTTGATCCATGAAGCAACACTGTCTCAATTTTTATCTCGCTGGGTATATAGCTCAGTGGTAGAGCATTTGCCTAGCATGCACAAGGCCCGATATTGAGTTGAATTTGATAATCTTCTGGAAATCTTTTCCAATGTTAAGAACATTATTATTATTATTATTATTATTATTATTATTATTATTGAATTTAGGAGCCATTCAAATAATTTAAAGCTTTTTTTTGTGAAAGGAGCTCTAAAAAACAACAAAAGAGTTAATAAGTAGGACGCGTAATCTGTTATCACATTGTTTCTGCTTGTTAGCATGTGTGAGCCAAGTTCCTAGCTTAGTGGCATGGCTGAGCCAGCCATTAAGAATATGGTGGGTAGCTGTGATCACCAAATAGAAGCTAATTGTCATTATTATTGTTATTTTGTCATTTGCTCTAGTCATACCGCCGAGGTACACAGTGGAACTCGCCTGCGGTTTTGGAGCCACGGTCTTTCTGGTGGTGGTTCTCATCGTGGTCTACCATGTTTACTGGCTGGAGATGGTCCTCTTTTACCGGGCTCATTTTGGAACAGATGAAACTATTCTTGGTAAGTAGTGAAAAATGTCTTGAATCACCATCTCCAGAAACTGTTTTTCCTTAATAGATAAACCAGTGCATTTGATAAGCTTATCTTTTATTTCAGTTCTTCCTAGGTAAAATCTTTCCAGTGTGCACTGTTTATCATTCTCGATAGACATGTAATTTAGTCTAGTTTAGCATTATCCATATACACAGTTTTTTTCAATAGTTCAAAGGGCACAAGTGAAAATAAAGATTTGATTCAGTAGTCTCACATTGTTATTTCAGCATGAAAATTATTTTTAAAAGTTACCGAGGTATTTTGCAGCATTTTGGGCATTGAAAGGACAGAAAATTCAGTGTGTTACATCGCAATCACGACGCATCTATGTTCAGACAGCTGCATTCAGATGGTCAAAAGACACGCGTGATTCTTGGTTACTGGGTAGGGCAGTGCAAGTTCACAGTCTTTTGTTTGGCTTTGCTTTGTCCTTTGTTTTGCCACAGTGTCTCATTGTATAGCCCAGGCTGACCTCAGTTCTGCACCACCACATCCAGCTGCAGGTGCCCGTGCTGTACTCAAGGGAAGACCCATGGGCCCACAGTGTCATGATCATCCAAAAGCTTTTTAAGTGGAGAAGCCTAAACCTGACTTAACTTGGACCAGAATGTACACTTTAACACTACTCCTAGGTGGCCCAAGTATAGAGATTAAAGTTATGTTTTACTTTGGCTCTCACTATTCAAAAAAATAACAATAATCTTTCCAATCAGTATTCCTGGCAGAAATTTTCTAGACAGTATGAATGAGACATTTAAATCTATAATGATAGGAAAGAAGAAATAGCCTGTTTTGTAAGAATCTAATTCAGCATGCTTTGGGAAGGAGCACATAATCTATATTTTTGAATGACTCATGGATTTTACTAAGCAAATTTACAAAAGATCAATATATTGAGCCTAAACATAACTTAATTCTAGCTCTTTTTAGGTATAATTTAGTCAGTTTCAAAGTCTTTCTCAGTTTAGAGTTCTAATGTATAAATGGGTGTTTTTCTAGGACACTGAGTAGAAATTTCCTAAAGAAATAAATTAAAAAAAAAAAAAGAAGAAATTTCCTGCCTGCTCTTAGCTACTAGCACCTGTGGTGAGCATTCCTGTTCATGTTATTCACAGGGCAGTCTTATCTGAAATGAGTGTAGAAGGCACATCAGAACATCAGATGCAATTGAAATTCCCATGGCCATTTGGCCTGAGTACTGTCACAACCTGATAGTTACAATGGAATCTGTCCCATTGTTCACAAATGAAAAAAAAAAAAACAAAGAAAGAAAGAAGAAAAAAGAAAAAAAGAAAGAAAAGAAAATGTTCAACACCCAGAAGTTAGATTTAAGAAAAAAAAAATAGCAATTTGAGAAGTTTTTCTAATGCATGTTGGCTATGTGTTCCTTTTGCTAGATGGAAAGGAGTATGATATTTATGTCTCCTATGCAAGAAATGCTGAAGAAGAGGAATTTGTGTTACTGACGCTCCGTGGAGTTTTGGAGAATGAATTTGGATACAAGCTGTGCATCTTCGACAGAGACAGCCTGCCTGGGGGAAGTAGGTATTGCAGATGAACACCAATGGTGCTACCCTGAAGGGAAAGCAGATCCTGAGCTGTGGTGCATGCATGGGTTGTATCTCAGTACTGGTGTTCAGACACTGAGCGTACAATCCCTTCAAGTTACAGAGACTTCCCAGAGACACAGCCAGCTGTAGGGTTCACGCTGTTCAGCTCAGTTTATGGCTTAAGGAAAATTCTCTTGCCATCTTTAAAAACGCCGGGTCAGAAAAGAGCCAGTCCTTAGGAAGTCTCTCTCCCTTGATGTTAGGTTTTTTTTTTGTTTGTTTTGTTTTGTTTTTTTAAATTAGGCTGACATGCATTAGTTTTCTTTTGCAAAGAGCAAGTATAGAAAATGCTACTTAACAACCACTGAGGTTTCCTCAGTTAACTGGAACTGAGGTGCAGGACAGACATCACAGAGCATTCCCCTGTTAACATGACTTGCCCTTTGCCCCTTTCTCACTTCTGTGCCAACTAAATAGTGCCCCTCAAACCTGCCTTTTCGTTGTTTGCATCCCCATTTCTATCAGTGCGTGTGTTTGAGTTTTAACTTAAAATGTGTAAGGCCAGTGCATTCTAGCAAATTTTACAACAGAAAGCTTCAACTGCTGAATATATATATATATATATATTAGAAAAAACACCTCCTCTTTTAGAGTCCAAACAGTTACAAACAAAGTCATTGTTCTTTTGGGAGTTTTGTAGCAAGCACATCAGCCACAATGTTCCATCTCCTGTAAGCCTCTCCTATTCTAAATGAGTGCACTGCCTCCCATCTGGAACATGGCAAGCTCCTTTTTTAAAAAAACATCTGTGGAAATATGTTAACATTAGCTGTTGATATGTTTTTAATGTGCAGGTAGTTGATACCTGGGATAGACGGAGTTTTCTTCTCATTTTGTGTCAGTGTATCCTTTATCTTATTTGCACACCCATTACCCAGGCTGCCTGTGCCCTAGAGAAGATTCTCCTTCAGTGTCACTGTATCATGAAATGATCACTTACCCCCTTAAAGGCAAAACTACACTCATATTAATACTTCTATTTCCCCACTTCACTCATGCATCTATTTATTTGTTCACAAAACTGATCCAAATATCATATCTACTAAGTGAAAAAGTGACTAAAAGATACGCAGGATACATCTGGATAAGACCTTCCACAGGGTGCTGACAGTCCTTTGAAGAATGCATAATTATCCTCGCCCCTCGCAGGCCCTGTTTCCTTTAGAGTCTTTCCGCTGCTCTTCCTGGGGCCGCCTTTGCCTCTGGACCTCTTTCTATGCTTATGCACGGTCAGCCTCCAGTGGAAATGCTTAGAATGAACACATACCCATTCCTGGCTTCTCCCTCAGGCTGTACATGTTAGCTTTTAATTGGCAAGTCGTCCCCTATTCCTTCTGCATGTGTGAAGATTAAGAATGGAAATGACTGCTGAGGAGAAGGTGATACAGATTTCAAAACCACCAGTGCAGTGCCTGGAGCTACCAAGCCTCTCTCCTGTGGGTGAAGGATTATGTGGTTCTCCCTGAGCATCTGTGAGGAGAGAGATTAGTCCCAAGAATTTAGTGGCAGGAATTAATCAGAGCCCTTGAATAAAATCAGGCTGCATTTCCACTTCCCACACTTTTTTTTTTTTTTTTTTTTTTTGGTGAAAGCTTTTGAAAGTCAACGCAAACACGTCAGCTAACAGTTGCTGAAAAGGGGCTTCCCAGAGACGATTTGAGGTGAAGGAGAAATATCCACTCTTTGCTCTCATTTCCACGGCAGAGGGGAGTGGGAAGCTGCTGTGGGAATGCACTGTGAGCCAGACGGCCATTTGCTTGAGTTACTGATCCACCAACATAGTGACACTGGTCAGCATCAGGAAAAGTAGACGTCAGCAGAGAGAGACTCACATTTGACATTCGCCGCTCTTGTCCTTGGTTAGCTGCAGATGAAACCTGGGAGTTTTGACTCAGTAGGTCATATTTGTTTGAGTGTTTTTCATACAAGATGGTTCTTGGGTACCTTTTAGGAGCCAGTTTGTCCAGGCCACAACACGGTTTGAAGATACTGATGTCACTACAATGCATGTGTTTCACCTGGTTCAAACTGTGCTTTTGAGGCCTGGGTAACAGCAGTCCGCAGTATATTTGCTGCTAGATGGCTCCCCCGAGCAGAGTGAGGCTCAGTGGACAGTGTGGTAAGATGAAGTTAGTAAGAGTAACTAGTCATGTTGCTGAGAACTGTGCTACAGCCATGCTTCCCAGGCCGTCGTTCCAAGTCCCCTGCCTTCCATCCTTGAGCTCTGCACATCAGGTAGTTCCCAGCCAACTCTAATCCCCATGGTGTTTTCTTTCCCAGTTGTCACAGACGAGACCCTGAGCTTCATTCAGAAAAGCAGACGACTCCTGGTTGTCCTAAGCCCCAACTACGTGCTCCAGGGAACACAAGCCCTTCTGGAGCTCAAGGCTGGCCTAGAAAACATGGCCTCCCGGGGCAACATCAGCGTCATTTTAGTACAGTACAAAGCTGTGAAGGACATGAAGGTGAAAGAGCTGAAGAGGGCTAAGACGGTGCTCACGGTCATTAAATGGAAAGGGGAGAAGTCCAAGTATCCGCAGGGCAGGTTCTGGAAGCAGCTGCAGGTGGCCATGCCAGTGAAGAAGAGCCCCAGGTGGTCTAGCAGTGACAAGCAGGGCCTATCCTACTCATCCCTGAAAAACGTATGAAAGGGAAAACGAAGGAGTGAAAAGAACAAAGAGGCTCATGGAAGGAAGAACCCCCTTCTTCCCTCCTAGGCTGGGGCTTCATAGACGGGAAAAGAGTCCTGTCAAAGCCCCCTCATAGGAAAACATCCTAGGGACTGTACGGCTGGCAGTTCTGCTTCTCAGGCAATACTAAGGGTTAGAGTAATGTCCTCAACAGTCCATCGCCAGTTCTAAAGCCATTATGATCTTTGCAAGGAAGGGTGTGTCTGATGCACCCTCCATCTCTGTTCTTCCTGATTTTTTAAATCTATTTTGTAAAAAAAAAAAAAAAAAAAAGAAAAGAAAGAAAAGTTCTCACCTTTACGGAGCTGCCTTGTGCAGTAACTTGAACCTCCCTTTAAAGATACGTTGCCTGCTGACAGAAGTATTCCCTGTTTTTCAGTAGGATTGTCCCTTCATTTTCTTTTGCCGTCAGTCATCCATTAAATGCAGAATCAGGGCGGGCTAAATCTGTCTGAGCTGAGGATAATTCACTGCTTTGCTTGTGTGTCAGTCGAATGCACCACCTCAGCGAGCCTAACGGTCACACAGCAGCCCTTCCTCATGACTGACTAAGTGGCATGTTACTTTCCTCCTACTAAACCACATTTGCCTCATCTCAGGTAATGGATATCATATTTATAAACTTGAAAAAAGTCATGGCTTGTGTCTTACTTAACCCGAGTAATTTCTCAGCTGTCTGTATAGCGAGGCCTGTGCTCTTCACCCTATCTCCCTACCCTGTTTTTATCCATCATTCCATCCGGATCTCATAGGTGGCGCCACACTTGGAGCAGTCTGAGAGGAAGCTTTTAATGGTGCTAATGGAGAGAAAAAGCCAAATGCTCTCAGGGCATTTTTCACGTGGGGAGAGAGCACAGAACAGGACGCTTGCAATTTGTCTTTTAAACCCAACTGTACTAATGTGAAGGCCGGAAAAGTGGTTAACCCTCACTCTTTCATACCTCGTCATTGTGAAAGAGGAATTGAGAGGTAGTGATTTCCCTTTTGGTATTAGTATTCTAAAAGATCAACTCCTTTCAATAATTTATTCTCCAGCACATGGAGTGCCTTATTCCAAACGAGTCACCCTGAAATTCACTGAGAGTGGAATGATTTTGTCAGTTTTAAGCAGAATATTACTATTCATCAGACTTGTAAAATTGAAAACTAGGTGAAGTGTTACATTTTGATTTAGTGAGGCCAATTTTTACATCATGTCTAACGTGTGTGTATATATGTGTGTGTGTATATACACATAGATGAAGTTAGTTCACATGAATTTCATGTGTCTATGTATATAGAAGTACCCAAAAATTACATGTATGTGTGTATATCCATCTGCCTATATATTATGTGTAATTATTTTGGGCTATACATAATCACACACATACATCTTTAAACAGCCATTGGTACAATATTAAAAGCCAGTAGAACTATTGTTTCATTTCAGAATTATGTTTATAGCGTAATGGTTTTGCATTGCTGTTATCATTACTGTTTTCATTACTGTTCTGTTTGTGAAACCCTGGCTCTCTGTGTGTAGTTTTCGAAGTTCTTGCCTTCCCTATATTAGCATGAACAACTTACTCTTCCTACAGTTGATTCAGGTTGCAGGGGAAAACTCCTGTCTGTGGACCTCCCATTGTCACTTCTCGACAGCAGACAGTCATCTGAGTTTGGTTCATTTTCCATTTTATTCCCTGCAGACACGCTTAGAATCTAAGTTATATTCATCTCAGTGCTCAGCTATGTAGACTGTTGAGTGATGAAGTAAAACAGATAATAGCTATAAATAAGTCTGAGTGTCCTATGAAAGATAACTCGTAATTTAAGGAAGGCTTTATCCAAGTTATGTTGATAATGTTAATAAGCAATTTTAAAATTATCTCTTACTATTCAGTATTCATCAGTACTGAAGTCCATAGTAAATCATTGCTCTGTGTTAGAATTATTGATTATTTTAAATTGAGAATTCCCTTCTGAATCCTTGACTTAAAACTATGATATATAGTCATTCTTGCATCTAACTTTTTAGAAGTGCTAATGCTTTTTCTTATTTCAAATAATTACCATTTCCACTCACACCCTTTAATCACAGTACCAGATGAAAGCTGGTTCCACACAAGCTTTGATTGTTCTCTATGGCATGGGCTATAGGAATGGAAGGGCCAAGCTTCTCACCACAGGCCATTCTCTCTGTACTGTGTGGTTTCTGCACTGTTGGATTCTGTATTTAAAATATATCTTGTCTCCTATGGAAAAAAAATCCTCCCATGGTTTTAAATTTACAATGAAAGGAACTCTGTGCCCAGGTTAACAAAGAACCATGTTATGCAGAGTGTCTTCTTATACAGCCACATGTGACTTATTTAAATCTCTTTTGTACTTTAGATGAGTCCCTGTGATTCTAATAAAAAAAAAAAGTACTGTCTCCTATGGGGAAACAAAAACATCACTTCATGTGTTAATTACTCATTTGTTTCCATAGGTATTAGTACTTTAAAACCATGTTTTTAATTTTATTCATAAACATTTGTATTTTCCATTTTCATTTGATTTGTATATTTACATATTTTTTACAATAAACCATTTATTTTCACCTTTGAATTTTATTTTGTGCATGTGTTTTGTGTCCTTATCTTCATGTTTGGGGGCTTGAGAAGTAAGTGTTAAAACGGTGATTATAATTATACAAAGAAATTAAATAAATTATAATAGTTAAATATTTATTGAGGAAAGGCTAAGAAAAATGAGAATTCATATCAAGGACATTTCTTGCCCAGTTGAGTAAGAACATCTTTAAATAAGATGGATAGTTTGATGCAATAGGATAGGGGTTTATGTGTATGGGTTGGGAGAGGCAGAAGCCACAGTTAATGATCATTTAAAACAAAGCAACGTATGTCTCTGGTTGCAGTTTCAAACTCTGCTAACGTACAGACAACTCTTACCAGTAACAAAAGGATGGAGCAAGGATCCATGGACCAAAGTCATAAGGAAGCAGGTTTCTACTCAGTTAACAAACAACTGTCAGGCAGGGTTGAAGGACAACAGAATTCTCTACTGTGCATATACAGAATCTCCCATTACAGGAAATAGACATTCTATTACCTTTTGTATATGGATTTTTTTTTTCATCAGATGAATGGTAACCAGTCTTGAGTTGTTTTACCCTTCAATGGTGACCCTGTCGGAGACTCAGTAATGCCATTGCATTAGTCTCATCAATCTGCGTATCACTTGCTTAATTAAATTTCTCAAGATACTTAGACACTTCCTCTATCCAATTGTGTATATCACCAACTAGATCAATTATGCAAGCAAAATTTGAAACACGGTATGAATGGCATGGTCAGCAACTAGTCTTTTTTTATTTCAGTGTTCCCTTGTAAAGAGTTTTTAAAAAATAAATTATGTGTTTATTTTCTATCCCTATGTGGGCGAGGTGGGGGAGGGACAACTATGAGTGGAGGTTGGGGACAGCTCACAGGAGTCAGTTCTCATAGTCCTCCCAGGGATCACATTCAGAATGATGGGCACCTTTACCTGCCCACCCAACTTACTGGCCGTGATTTCCGTGTTTCTATCCAAATTATAAAGTAAACTGATATATTTATTGAACTTTTCAATCAATTTTGATACTAGCTTTGGAATATGAACTTAATAAATTTATGTCAGTAATAGGATTTAAAATTTCCACGCATTTAGTTTATAATAGCTTAAGATAAGAACAATTACTGTTAAAACAAAGTTGCTCCTTTAAAACAAAATGTGAAAGAGGGACATAGCAAGAGAGGGGAGGTTCTTCTAGAAAAGTCCTAGCAAAGGAAAAAACATCAGGGTTGTAGTTTACTTGGAGATGACTATGACTTCCAGGGCTATTACAACTTTTAAAGGTGTGAGTTTCTTTAAGTATTGTAGGGTTCTGGATCAGAACCAAGACTAACCTAAAGAATCCCATTGCCGTCTAACTAGACCTCATTCTTCTGAGTCAAATGGGACATCATCTCGCTCATTCTGACTCCAGACAAACTCTAGCATTAAAAATGACCACCCTCATCTTCAAATAGGAAGTTTTAAAAATCTTGGAGGTATTTTAAATATCACAAAAGGAAACTGCTTGTTTCTAAAATATGACCCAAAGTTCTGAGCACTGGACAAGCCAGCCCCATCTGAAAAAGACATGCATTTTACTTTCATTCACGGTTATCCCATTGAAAGGAACACACTTTTCTCTAAAAGTCATTTTAATACTGTTACATATGTAACTAGTAGGATTTGATTGCGTAAGTTTTCAAAACTTGTTCAAACCTAGCCTTGCTGTGCTAAGGTCATTTGGCGTTTCTTGTGAGGCAGGTTAAGCATCGAACATGCATTTTCTAATGTACTAAAGGAAATTTCATAAAATCTGAGTAGGGGGAAATGGGACAAGGAAGTTACCAAGATACACATGTACACGCATGCACATCTGCATACACACACGTAGTCTTGAGACCTCAAAGTGTAAATTTATCTTTCAACATCAGAACCAAAAAAAAAAAAAATCTTTGAATTTTAAGTTAAGCACATTAAAATCACACATTGTAAAGAATGAGTCATGGATAAGGATCCTGGCTCCCTCATTCCCGTAGAGGTTATGATGTGCAAATTCCAGGGTCACCCTACGCTCAAGAAAGATAAATACAGCCTCAGTACTGGCTGGCATATGTTTTCAAAGTTGGTGGCACTAAGAGTCACATTGATGAAATTTCTTTTCTGCAGCCACCAAGGCCCATCTCTTAAACATTGTCTTGGGGCTTGTGGGTTGTCTAAGCCCCTGCATTTCACCGTGAGTTAAATACTGCATTACTCTGAAGAGTTTCCCTTTGGGACCTGTCCATATTCCCTCAACAAACATTAGAATCAAATACTCTGCCAGAAGTCTTAATTAATTGATTGATTCTTAACCACTATGGTGGTATTCAGCTCTCTAATTGACTTTCAGGCCACTTCTTAAACACACACACACACACACACACACACACACACCCAAGAAATTGACTTTCAGGCCACTTCTTACACACACACACACACACACACACAAGCACACACACACCCAAGAAAGAAAGACCAAAAGAAAATTGAAGCAACAACGGTGAGAGGGTGGGGAGGAAGGAGCAAGGAAAGAAGGAAATATGAGTTTCTAAGGACCAATACTGTGTCTAAAATATTACTTACTTACCTGGGCCTGACTGTAACTCAGGATGTGGGGAGGGGGTAATTCCCCAGGTACTGTGCCATCAAAGTTTCTGGAGAAATATGTTCATTGTTATTCAAAATATTATTCTAGAAGACATATATACAAGTTGAATTATTATTCACAGGAATATGATAAGGGATGAGAGTTCTTGAAATCATGTCTTTTATAGAATAAGAGGAGATACCTGAAGTCACTTAATCCAGAGGTAAGAACAAAATACAGTAGCATCACCTTAGTGCTTAGATACTTGGAACTTTTGAAGATATCTGATCTAAGACCACCAGATAAAACTTAGGGAAATGAAAATTCTTTTTATTTATTTATTATTACAATTTATTCACTTTGTATCTCGACTGTGGCCCCCTCCCTCATCTCCTCCCAATCCACCCTCCCTCCCTCTTCTCCCTTTATGCCCCTCCTCTAGTCCACTGATACCAGAGGTCCTCTCTCCCCTACTATTTAACCCTAGCCTATCAGGTCTCATCAGGATTGGCTGTATCCTCTTTCTCTGTGGCTTGGCAAGCTCCCCACCCCCAACCCAGAGGGAGGAAATGAAAATTCTAAAACGACATGATTTGCAAGCAGGGAGAAAGTCAACTGATTCTCGAAAAAAGTTTATTAATTTATATCCCCTTATTTTTATAATAGAAGAAGACATCTTCATTGAAGAACATCTTTAATGGAAGGGAGTGTTGTGTAGGGAGAGAGAATAAATTTTTTCAAGAGGCTCTTCTTTCTTTTGTTTTGTTTTGTCCTCCCCTCCCTTGAAGACAGGATTTCTTTGTGTAGCCTTGGCTATCCTGGACTCACTTTGTAGACCAGGCTGGCCTTGAACTCACAGAGATAGGTCTGCCTCTGCCTCCCACCAGTGTTGGAATCACAGGTATAAGCCACCATGCCCAGTGAGGCTCCTCTTACTCTTACAAGGAACAGATTCTTTCTGTATGTAAGGGTGGGTGAGAATACTTGACTTTTCACTGGATAGATTTATTTAGCACTGTTACCCTGTTCTCAGAAGTTTGCTCATGCCCATCCTCATGGAATGGACAGTGACCAACTTGGACATCATTACCAGATGCTATGCTGTGTTTCCATTTCCCTGTAGATACGGTGGAAGCGGTGTTTGATTTCATTCAGCGGAGCCGAAGGATGATTGTTGTCCTGAGCCCAGACTATGTGACAGAAAAGAGCATCAGCATGCTGGAGTTCAAACTGGGTGTCATGTGCCAGAACTCCATTGCCACCAAGCTCATTGTGGTAGAGTACCGTCCCCTCGAGCAGCCCCACCCAGGCATCCTGCAGCTGAAGGAGTCTGTGTCTTTTGTTAGCTGGAAGGGAGAGAAGTCCAAACATTCTGGCTCCAAGTTCTGGAAGGCCTTGCGTTTGGCTCTTCCCCTGAGAAGTCTGAGTGCCAGCTCCGGCTGGAATGAGAGCTGTTCTTCTCAGTCTGACATCAGTCTGGATCATGTTCAGAGGAGAAGTCGTTTGAAAGAGCCCCCAGAACTCCAGAGCTCAGAGAGAGTGTCTGGAGCAGAGCCAGCACCGGGCACCATATCCAAGCACAGAGGAAAGCCCTCAGCAGCCTGTCGCTGCTGTGTCACCTACTGTGAAGGAGAAAGTCACCTCAGGAGCAAGAGCCGGGCAGAGATGCACACCCAACCCCAATGGGAAACACACCTCTGTAAGCCTGTTCTCCAAGAGTCCGAAAGTCAGTGGATACCAAACCGCACCAGACCTGAACCCACTCCCCAGATCTCAGCTCTTGCACTGCACCATTTTACAGATCTATCCAATAACAACGACTTTTATATCCTATAATCACTATGTGGAGGGCGGTGGCTGCTATTTCTACCAACTCTCTTTGGGTCACAAACCTTTGGGAATAACTGACATTTTTTTAATCATCTAATAGACTATCACATTTGTGTCCCCTTTATTGATTTTTTAAAAACTATTTATTTCTAGGAGACAAAAGACCTGAAGCACCCGTATCCAGTTATTGCCTCTAACGGCCTTGGAAGAGCACACTCTTCTCGGGCCCTAGAAGGTCAGTATGTAAGTAAGTGAAGTGTTCTTGGGCTTTGACACTCACAGGATATTTGTACCCAAGGGACCAGGGCTTTGACACTCACAGATGTTTTTACTCAAGGGACCCTGCAGGGCTTTGACACTCATAGAGTGTTTCCTCCCCAAGGGACCAGGGCTTTGACACAGGGTGTGTGTATGGAAGGGATAAGGAATTTGACACTCAAAGTGTGTGAGTACTCAAGGGAATGACTTGAAAAGGAATGGGTTCTGGTGGACACTGTAGGACAGAGCTCAGCAGCAAACCTACAGCACACTTGGCCTCCAAGAAACAAATCTTCCCGTTAG